GCTGAGCTCAAGCCTCTCTGCTGCCATACAACACCCTGCAGAGCATGGACACTGACCATCCCACCCTCCTATTAGCATTTCTGTTGTCTCTCAAAAAAGCAGGGAATGCTTTGATTGCATGGAAGCAGAACAAGCTTTGCCACCTTCCAACTGCAAAATCTGGCAGTGCCACTGGAGAATTTAAGCTGAAGGCAAAATGGGATTTTGCCTTTCAAGTAAGCCTCTCAAGGAAGAGACTCAAGGATGGAACACAATAGCAGAGGAAACAGCTTCCTACTTATGTTACAAACATACAGTTTGCACCATGTGTGTCCTGACACACAGCAAACCTTTACAGCTCCCTTAGACAGAACATCAAAAGCACTGGAGAGGTTCAAATGGTGCAACCTAACTTAGGTGAGAACAGAGTAACCAAGAGAACCTTGCCTGCAAAGTAAAACTGCACAGGTACCTCTCTGRTCATCCAGTGTAATGCTAAAATTCATTTACTACAGCACTAAGAAAGCTATGAATACTATGCAAAGCAGACTTTATTTTTAGATCCATATATCCTTAGTGGGCATGAATCTCTCTACACTGGCCTCAACAATTCAAGAAGATTTTCAGTCCATGGGACAAATCTGCCAGGTTCTGACAAGTCAGGCCTCTGCTATAGGGAGTTTATAAAAAAAATTTAGATTAGCTGTCAAAATCAGCCACTTTTAGTCACAGATCCTACGATGCATAATAATCCATAACAATGGATTAAGATACCTGGCACAAGACTCAGGAGCTCTTARCATATTACTATTTTATATTGTGCAACACAGGCCATTTTTAAGAGGTAAAAAGTAAAACCAAAATCTACAGCACTACACGCCCTGAACTCTTCCTAAGAAAAACAATGGGCCATCAGCAAAAAACATTTAGCATCTATTTCAGTAGATTTTTTTCAAGAGCAGAGTTCTGTTGGATTATTAAAACATAAATGCAATACAATTTTAGGCAAGACTCCAAAAATCACAAAATAGAGAGAGCCAATAGGAAACCACCCACCAGGTGCAACAGATACTCCCTACTAACCAGAAATCACTAGGAGCTACTAAGCCTTGATGATGAAGTTGATAAATCTGAAGTCTTCCAAAAATTCAGAAACAGCCTTAAAAAAAAGGGAATTTCAAACTTACTTTAAACTAACTTTRGACCTTTTTTCAGAATTTTGTAGAACTATTTCCACTGAATTTCAAGAGCTGTGATTTTAGGGCACATGTGCTGCATGTGGAGGATAAAACAACTCAAGTGACACAGACAGCAACGTGTTTGCTGCTTAGGCTCTAAATGTCTGTCAAAAAAACATCACATAAAACATACTAAAGGGACCACTGCTAAATCTGCTCTTCAGAACAGTCCCTTACCCTCTTTTCAAACCCATGAACAAACAGAACACACGGAAGAGCAGCACGCCCCTCTGAAATGCCACACTGGGAGCAAACCAAGGGAGAAAGGTGGTTCTTAATCATACTGTACTTTTTATTTCAGGACATCTACCACTTTGAAATCTCCTAAGGAAAAAACCCTACGGGAAAGTCACATTAGCGGTAAAATAAACTCCTGATTAATTTGACCAGTTCAAATTCAAATGTTCACAAATCGAAAAGCCACCTGAACATTACATATACRGGAAAGCTGCACCCAATTCCAGTCAACTGGAAGTCACAAAGATGAGCAGACACAGTAACTTTGCTTTACAGAGTGTGGCTGAGCTAAGCACCTATGTTGTTTCTATACAGTCACGCCAGTTAAGTTGTAGTTTGGAAGCCGCCTCAAATACATGAGCCATGCATCAAACATGACATGGCTGCTTCAGGCATTTTCACATCAACCTGGACTGTTAAAAAAAAAACAAAACCGGAACAAGAAACTCTCCCTTCCCAATTCTCCTTCAGATAAACACGGCAGAATAAAGTTTCTGCTGGAGGTAAGGRGGGACCTGTTCTCAGATTACATGCTTTTTTACCATCTAAAAGGAGTCTTAAAATGGCTAAATGCTATTTCAAAAGTCAAAAGAAAACTGCAGTATGCATAAATCAGTGATGTTAAAGGAACAAAAGAGAAATCTAGTTAAAATAAGGATGGCCTCAACCATGATTCTCCGTGATAACAATTCCCAAAATGATTTAGTTATGTCTCATTATGGGGACACAAAACATTACTGTCCTCTATTCCTAAGACCTATTTGCACAGTTTCTCTTCCATTTATTCAGCTGAACACCAAGAGTGGCCATTTCAGCATAAATTAAAAAAAATAAATACCTAGGAACACTATATAGGATAAACAAGGTAAGGTATTTCTCCCAATAGGAGACACAGGTAGGCAGCAGACTGGCTGTGAGTTTGGTTTGGTGACAACAGGCCAATAGCATCAACAGTTAAAAGTGAAGTCAAAAAGAGCTTAAAAAATCAAGACAACAAAAAGACTGGAAAGGACGAACCAGTCTATTACCAATGTTTCCTGTTTATAAGAAAGTCACACCACCTGGACTCACTCTGCCTATAATTATAGCCAATGCCAAAGTAGTTACCTTAGAAACAGGAAACACTTCAGTTGGGTACACTAAGAATGACTTGTCAGAGTCACACCTGTTTTGTTACCTGCTCATAAAAAGTTCCTGAGAGCAGCTGCCATGCTTCATTGCAACAAGTGGGACTCAGAAACAATCTAACTTCACCATATACAACAGACTAATGTTGTATTTTCAGTATTATCTCACTTTTGTTGTAAATACAGTCCAAATAGTTTGTGGTTTGTTGAAATTAAACTATGAAYACTCACTGGACTTATTGTATAAGGAGCAAATAGTACTAATCTAAATTAGAAAACTATTGTAAAGGAGCTGTTGTACTGATACAGCATCTGTCAAAATACCCAACTGTTGCTATTTCTAGTTTAGAATTTTTAAGTCCATTTTACTGGGCAGTGTGTTCTTAACTGGAGGACAGCACTGAGAAGGATTTCTCCCATATGGTCTGCAAGAAGGTTATGTCACCGGATTATTCACTACACATCACTTTTTCCATATTTTCTGTGGGCAAGCCACAACAACACTCATCCCCTACGGAGGCCGCCGAGCCCGGCCCGGGGCAGGCCCGGCCCGGAGTTCTCAAAGCTCCACCTGTCACCAGCGGCGTTACACAAGCGAAGGGGTAGAAAGGAGCACAGCCCAAGACCTGGCGGTTTCCCCGGCACCTCGCGACGCCGCCGCCTCCCCCCGCCACCGAATCGGGAACACTCGCGGATCCCCCCCGGTCCCCGGAGTTCGCTCAGCCCCTCAGARGCGGCCGCAGGACCGGGCTGCGCGGGAGCGGGGGGTGCCGAAGGCCCGCGGGTCCCGCCGCTGCCTCTCGCACCTCGGAGAGCGGCCCGGCCGGGCSGGTGCCTCAGCCGGCCCCGCTGCCCCAAACACAAGCCTTTCCGGCCCCGCCGCCTCCAGCCCCGTCCCCACGGCGATTCCCGCCGCCCCGGAGCCCGCGGTGCCCCCACAGCCCCCCAGAGCCCCCCAGCCGGTGCCGGGCGGGCGCTGCTCCCACCTCGGCGGTGTCGTGAGGGCCGGGCCGGGGCCGCTCGCGCGCTTCTCTCGCGCCGCCGCCGTTCCGATACAAAATGGCGGATAGGGTCGCGCGCTCGCGCCGCGGCCTTTCCCCTCCCCCGTCCTGTGGCGGGGGGGGACGCGGGGGAGCGGAGGGGCGGGCTGCGCGCGGGGCTGCCGCGCCCCCGCCGTTCGGCCGTCGGCCAATCAAAGCGCGGGGCCGCGCGAGGCCTGRCCAATCAGAGCCGGGCGACCTCGGGGGAGAGCGTCCCACCGCCCTCCGCGCGGACCCAGAGCCGCGCGCCATTGGCCGGCAGGGGCCGAAGTCCTTCCTACGCTCTCAGCCAATCAGAGCTCAGTATCCCTTCAGCCTGCGCTTGCGCGCCGACGGCCAACCCGCGCTGCCGAGGCCGACCAATGAGCGCGCGGCGGGGGCGGGGCGGGAAGGGGAAGTGGCGGGCAGTGCCAAAGGGCGCGCGGAGTCATGGCGGGGGGGGCGCCCCTCCCCGAGTGGTGCCCCCCCCCCGACGGTGGTACAGCCCCAGGAACGGTTTCCCCCCCGCGCAGCGCCCATGGTACGGGCCCAGGCATTGGAGCCTCCCCCCAGCCCGCGCAGCCTTGGTACGTTCCAGGCGCGGCTCCCCCCCCAGCATGGCGGCTGCGGGTCCCTCACACCGCCGAGCGTGGGCACTGGGCGCTCCCGGGGCCATTTTTCCCCTCTACCGAAATCCTTCCTTGTGGTGAGCCTGCCTAAAAGCTGGCTACGCGATAATGGACATGTGGAATACTCTGGAATTGCCTGAACTCAGTATAACTAAAAGCCGCTAACAGCCGTCGGCTGCGAGCAGTACCTGGAGCCGAAAGTTACAAGAGGTCTTTTGTCCCCGCGGAATTCCCGAGACAGACTCGTTAAGTGAACTTAACTCGAATTAAGTGAACTTAACGACATAATGGGGCTAGCTTGTGAGGATAACGGCAAGGCATTGTTTCTAAAGTAGCCTATAAGGAGCTCACTTTTTGTAATATGTATGAGGTTGATTACCCGTTAGCGAACATGGGCATAAAAGCCATGGTTGCTGAAGGGAATAATCTCGGTGGTCGTWGTGCATTTCTCCCGCCGCCCGACAAATGGTTAACTCCGACACTTGCTCCATTGGCACCCTCCCGGCTCGCCGGSCTCAGTTCTGGAGAGGAAACTCCCTTCAACCCCTTCCCGCCTGCCTCAGCCACACCACACCCGCCTGCCAGCCCCTGGGGTGCTACACCRGGACCGGGGCYCACAGTCTCCCCTGGCATCTCCCGGCCCGGGGCGCGACACAGCGGATAAGGGCCTGAGGAAGAGCTCGGAGTGTTGGCATGGCATTTCAGGATACGGCTTCATCCCTGTATCCCACCCGGGAGCATCTCCCACAAGAAACCACTTCATGCTGGCCTGGCACACGCATCACAATGTCACTTTTATTGAGTTGAGTTCCCTCCACTTTCTGCATGTACAAAATACATGTTAAAAGGCCAGTGTTTGTAAACAGTCAGGGGAGCAGTAAGGCAAACAGGAACGGCCACAGCATCTTCAAGACCTGCCCTGCCCTCAGCCACACAGACACTGTGGGGTCACTGAGGGAGCCCAGATGTTCCCAAGTGACAACCAAAGACATGGGACACTGCATCCTCCTCCACTTCAGCCATGGGACCAAAGCATGCTTTCAGGAAAGCCAGGGCCACAAGACCCACCAGGTACCAAACCCTCTCATCTTGGTGCGGGGTGGGCRCTGGAAGGTATTTGGGCATTGGCATCTGCTGAACATCTCTGCTGGACTCCATGAGAGCTGGCTCTGTGCTCCCCACATCCAAGACAACTGGATATCTTCTTTATGCAAAAAGGTCCCCTGAGCCCCAGTGCCTGCACACAGGCAGAAGCCCCCCTGGCAAAGGGGCTCGGGATACAGCTGGTGCTGTACAAGTGGGGGTTTGGTGGAGCCTGGTTTTGTCAAAAGATAAGAGCACAGATGCTGGAGATCACTGGGGAGAGTCAGGAGTGATCTGTGTCTTCACAGCATCCCTCAAACATTCCTGCTGTGCTTGGGGCTTTTCTTCCTCCTTCTCCATCTGGGTCTCCCCGTCCCAAGCAGCAATGGGGAGGTCCCCATTTACACACAGCATCAGTAARAAAAGACCAAACATTTTCACGTGGGGAAGCACCCACCCTGCAGCCTCTGCTTGCAGAGCCACGTTGAGTAGTACAGGAGCACATGCCATGGTTCTCCTTCTCACCACATCAGCCTGTGCTGCTTCCAGAAGATGCAGGAGGTTCAGGGCCAGTTTTTGCACAAATCTGAGCWAAACCCTTGTCACAGATGCATCACTAGATACACCTCGTCCCTCCCCAAGGGTTTTAGAAGCCAATCAAGATAAAAGGAAACCCAAAGACAGAGCAAGAGAATTTTGCTGTTGAGGTTTAACACCCCCAACCAAATCYGCAGCTGGGGGAACTGTTCAAGCCAGCAAAAATAAGAATGAAACCATCATCCAGACAGACAACAGAGGGACAGCCCAGAACAACACCAGCCATACAGAGTGTAAATGACCAAGGGAACAATATAAAATGAATTAATACTGACTGCTTTACTCCAAAAGCATCCCTTAAAACCTGGCTCAGTCCCATTCACTGGAAACCTGGAAGAACAGGATTGTTGTAAATCTGGAGAAGAGCTTTGCTCTATTGTAGTGTCTTTGCTCAGTAGGTCGATGCAGTCATAGCAGCTTCTCTACTGAGTAAGCAAACCCTGGCAGGGAAAACATGCACTGGCATGTTCCTACCCCAGGGTCATCCTGATCCACAAAAAAAAAAAAAACAAAACAAAAGAGGCTAAAAGGCAATGGTCCCCCTTTGTAACACAAAGCACAGCCCAGGCAGAGGGAGATGTGAGAGTAGGGGCAGGAGACCAGCAGGAAAGCAGAGTTCAAACCAAACATTGACACAGAAGACAACTATGGAGGTGTCTCCCTGTCGGATAAACATGATTACTATTTCCCTTTATGCAGAACACTCTTTCTCCCTCCAAAGCTGGAAGAAGAAGGAGTTTTAGGTGTGGAGAGGAGCTCCACCAGCATAAGGGTACACAGATGRGAGCAGCATGGCTTTGCAAACCCCAACCACAACCCCTTAGTGATGTCTAAGGGAGTGATGTCTACCCTGAGGGGCAGAAAGGGCTTGCCCTAGAAGACAGGTCCCCTTGTAGTGTTGCTCTGGCTTCACTGGAACCAGGGCTGAGAGAAGCCTGACTGCCTGGTGCCTTAAGACAACGAGATACAAACCACCACATAGCTTGTTCAGCCAAGTCCTGAGTCACAACGGTCCTCTTGGATCTTCCCAACATGCCATCATGTTTTCTTCCCACTTCCCTTTGGTCCTAGGGGAAATCTCCATCCCCTCAGCAGAAGCAGTGCAGTCCAGCCTTGAGGACTCAGGCTGTGAGATCCACAAAGATAGCGTTGGCAGTGGTCTGTCCAAAGATGAAGGCTCCAAGGGTGACCATGAACACGCCRTAGCTGACCTGGGCCCACCAGCTGTGGATGCAGGAGGACAGGGCACATTTAGAGGGGTCCTTCACTCCAGTATCCACAGGGGAAGTGGGACGAGAGGGAAAGCACATTTCAGTTACCTGATTGCCCTGGTTTCTTGGATCTCAGAGAGCTTGGCTTGAATCAGGCAGAGCCCTGAAAGGCAGGGGAGGCAAATTAGAACCAGATGAGGATTGTCCCGATGACTGAACAGACACTCCACAAAACGGAGTCACACTCCCCATTACAGAGCACATAGTCCAGCCAAAATAGCTGAGCTACTGMCGGGCCCCAGATCACATTTTTGTCCTACTCTAAAAATTTCCTGGTTCCTTCCATCCTGCCCCCTCCCTCTTTSAGACAAAAGGCCATGAAACCTTTGTCAGCCCCTTAACATCCCAGGATACTATACCTGGGAAGACAAAGATGAAGCAGGCGGCCAAGCCCCCAATGACAGAGATGACTTTGCCAATGTCAGGGATGAAAAGAGCCAGGAGGAGGGTCAGAAGGAACCAGCTGATGGTCTGAAACAGGCGTCTCCTCCGCTCCCGAACCACATCCTCCTCCACTGTTACCCCAGTGTAGCGGAGCCAGAGACCCTCCAAGACAGCCCTGTGGGCACAGACCCAAGATAGAGGGGTTTCCTTGTGCTGCTCCTCCTTCCCATACCAGCCCCATCTTTCTCTCAGTGCTCACCGGCCACAGAAGTGCAGGATGGGGTASGATGTCAGCACACAGAGGATGATGAAAGCCCGGGCAAGGGCAACGGGGATGTCATTGGAGGGGTARGACATCAAGACATCCTGCTCCACGCCAGCTCCAAAGGTTAGGAAGCCACAGACACCTGCCGGGAATAGAGCAGTCAGCAGGGGACAGGGACAAATCTCCTGAACATCTGTTTGAAAGTCCAGACTTGTATGGAGATGGCACAGGGCACATTGCAGAGAGGGTCTGATGGACTCGCCTCTCTTCTTGCTCTCACCCTGCTGAGGTCCCTGCCCTCCTGAAGCTCACAGCCACTCCAAGGACCGTGCCACACTCATACAGTGTCCCCTCACTTACCAGTGCCTGTGTAGACAAAGAGAGCAATCACCATGGCTGCCGTCACCACTGCCCCCCAGGTCTTCACCTCTGGCTGCTTCATGCTGTTAAACACGGGCACRCTGCTCACATGGCACTGCCAGGACACAGAGAGAGTGGAGATRCATGATGGACTGAATCACATTCCTGATATCCCACATTTGTTGTGATTAAAGGAATAACCCACAGTGGCTGTGCTGGTCAAGGAAATAACCAAAATCATGATCCCCCCAGGTTTGTCACTGGAAAAAAAAGGAGTGGGAAAGACTGCCCTGTACTTCCTAGCTGGGGTAAAATAGGTGCATCTCCATCTAAAGGTGGTGAGATGTTAAAAAGGCTTCAGCTTCCTCACAAAGCTGTGCAGTGAGCACATGGGCAGGGTTTCAGTCTGCCACCCAAGCAACCACAGGGTAGAAGGGGAATGCCAAGCTCATAGCCTTACCTGAAATCCAAAGCAGATGGTGGGCATGGCATTGAAGACAGCTGTCCAGGAGGAGGGSCTGGCAGGAGAGAAACATCCACCAGTCAGACCAGGACCCCTGTGCCCCCATCCAGAGCCCCAGGGGAGCATGAGCTGGGTGTGCTCAGTGTCTTTGCTGTTACTGCATCCCCCCACCCAGGATGATGCCATTGCATGAAACTAGGCTTTCCTGGGACCTGGTACTCTCTGAAAACCTGCACCTTTCACTGAGCATGCAAAAGTAAAAGTATCAATAAAAATAAGGATCTAGTAGGGCAGTGCAGAAAACTGGTCTGACCTTTGCTCTGCCATAAAATCCTGCACTGGGTGCAGAAATATTCCCACACTGTGATTAAGAGAATAAGCCACAGTGGCTGTGCTGGCCAAGGAAATAACCAAAATCATCCAAATATAGACACAGCCCTTGTTGCTGGGKGAGCAAAAGSACTGYACAAGGAATCCAGGGCCTGGATGTRTCAGAGATAAAAGCCAATCAGTACTTATCAAAACCTGGGATGGAGCCGCGTGAACCTTTAAGAGGTCCTTTCGTCTTCTTCACCATCTGCTCCTCTAAAACATGCAGAGGTTTGGAAACACTTGGGAGCTATGACAGCAACATGCAGAGTCCCCAGGACCAGGGATGGGACTCATGAAAGATTCATACCCAGCCTTTGCAGCCCTTGCTCCCACACCCCTGAGTGGCTTTGCCATGCTGTGATGGCCACTGGCAGCGTGTCTCTTGCTCTCACCTGGTGGGGATCTCCACAGGYACCAGCTCCTTGTCAGGCCAGATGTATTTAATGATAATGACTGCTGTGACATACCATGTGCCAATCACACTGAGGGAGCTGTGAGAGGGGATAGGAGGCCATTAGTGGTCTGCTTCCCCACTTTATGGAGGAAGTCTGTCTATCCCATCTTCCCCCCTGCACAGCCCAGGCTCCCCACCTCCTGCCTATCAGATCCATTTTTGCTCTCCCTTTCCATGGGAATATGCCAGGAACTGTCACACGCTGTCCCCCAAGCATATGCCAACACAATTCTGTTACATTTGGGGGTTATTCCATGCTTTTGTGAGCAGCAAACCTGCTGGATTTTGGTTTTGGAGAAAGAAATGAGTGTTGAAGCAGTGACACTCCAGCAGCTAGCTCACACCCRGATGCTTGGTAGAGCTGGGCTAGCCTGCAGACCACCCGCCCTAGGGACACTTACTGGCTCTCCTTTCTGGTGGATTGCCAACTCCAAAGATAAGAGACAATGCTGCTGAAAGCAGTTCWCCCTGTTCCTCCAATGCACAGAAGGGAAAAAAAAGCCTTAAARTACAACACTRWGGCTGCACAGTGCTCAGCTGCTCCTCTGCTTCCCAGATGGGGAAACTGAGGCATGGGAAGGCAGAGGGTGAGTGGGCAGATATGGCACTAGAACCACAGCATTTCCAGTCCCTCTCCCCTGCAACTGTGCTTACGTGGGTGCTGGCTGGCCCACCCCAACTCCCACCTCCAGAGCGCCCTTCCCTACCCACCTGGCATATTTCTGGAAGCCAATCTCCTTGGGGATGGAGAGGGGCAGGATGAGGAGGAAGGCAGTGATGCTGATGGTGAACTTGCGGTCTGTGTACCAGCGGCTGCTMCCAGCTTCCTCAGGCTCCTTCACCAGAGCAGCAATGACTGCAGGACAACCAAGACAGTCAGCTTGGCCCTTCCAGCTGAAGGGACAACAACTGGTTATAGTTTGCTCAGTGGGATGCACTTACTCTTGTCCTCCTGGTCTCCAATGATGATGAGGAAGGCGATGCAGGTGCCGAAGGTGTAGACAGCGATGGCCACCTCACACAGCACACCAGGCACCTTCCCACACACAGCCCACACAACCTCCTGGTAGGTGCGCTCGTTGCTGGCCTGCGAGCAGTACGCCAGGATAACCAAGCCTCCAATGATGAAGATCAGCATGCACTGGGATGGGGGASAGACAGGGAGGGAACACTGAGCCAACAATATAGCAAGGTCCCCAGAGCCATTCCAGGCAGCCACCCTTGAACACAYTGAGCATCTCTGGTGCATCTCATCCAAAAGAGCTTCTTCCCAGGAGGTTGGTCCTCCCCAAGCCCTTTCTGGGGCACCACATGTCCTTCCCATGCACCYTCCCAGGACAGGGCAGGGGGACTGTCCCTCTCCCACTCACCATCTGCAGGGCGATGCCTGCAGCCACGCCACCAGCCATGCTGAAGGCAGCAGGGAAGTTGAGCAGCCCAGCTCCAAGAGCAGCGTTGACCACAATGAAGACAGCTCCCAGAGCCGATGTGGCCCCCGGACCGTTTCCTTGGCTTTCTGAATTTTTGGGCACTGTCTCCACACTGGGGCTCTGCAGAAGCCTGGCCCGTTCACCAGCATCGTCACTCCACTCCCAATCCTTGTAGTCACTGTTGATGCTCCCAGTGCCCTGAGCCATTGTCCCTCCTTGGGTGGCACACACCACCGTCCACGTCCCACTAGTGGTCCTGCACTAGGCTCAGCCAGGCACCTTGAGGAGGGTCTTCAACCAGTGCTGGCTCCATCAGGCAGGGAGGGGAGAAAATAGGCTGGGATGCAGAAACACAGAGTCAGGCACTTCCCTACTCCTACAAGGGGATGAAGAAGGCCACTGTTAAGTGTTAGCGAAATTATATTAACAAGGGACAACCTGGGCATAGGGAAAATGAGTTCTCTGGGTCTTAGCACACACACCAGCAGAGACAGAGCAGGAGAACTCACCTCTTGTCCCTCAAATCCAGGGAGAGGACACTGCTGCTGTCACGATGGGGGACTGAGCCCTGACTCTGGGGCTGAGGAGCTGCAGCCTCACAGCAGGACTTGCCTTTCTCTGGGCATGAGACCCAGCATCATGGATCACTTCCTGATTTTCAAACCCAATTCCTGCAAGCTTTGCAAGAGCTGCTGTGCACGTGCTCCTGAGTAAAGGGCAAGGCTGGGCTCAACAGGAATGACCCGTGTGCAGCAGAAACACTGTGTCAACAGGAAAAGCAGGACTAGCCCGTTCCAGTGGGTGACCACCAGCAGGAGAGGATGTCTCAGAAGCTTTTGGATTTGAAAATCTGGTGTTTCCAGCATTGCAGCCGTTGGGGGTTGGAAAGTCTGAATCTCATCCCAGTACCTCCAAGCTGGAGGAGATAGACCCTCACAACCTGGCAGGATCTACACGGTCACGAGATACCGCTTTTCAAGGAAGTCTGGTTTTTATCCCTAGAGGACATCCATAGAGACTTGCTCCCTAGCACACTCCTGTCTTCTGGGCTATTCAAACTCTGTGCTTGTGCTATGAAACCTCTGTAAAGATTCCTTGGGAAGGGGAGGAAGGRCCACCCTCTGTCCCCTGGGTAGGARCGTGGAGGGGACATGCCGGYGGGTCCGCGTGGGCTCCAGCTCCCACCCAGCMGAGGATGCTGCAGGGGTCGATGCTTCTACCATGGCCTGGGGAAGGATGCGGAAGGGTGTCCTTTACCTCCAGACAAAGCCGCCACACTCTGACAACCAGAAACCCCGAGAGCAGGCACATCTCCGAGGGTGACTCGACAGACCCGCGGCCCCGCACGGGCCCCGGCGGCGCCCCCCGCCCGGAGAAGCAAGGCCCGCAGCCCGTGACGGTCAGCCCGCGTACGCAGGGAATGCCCTGGAGGACGTGACGCTGCCCCAGCGGATCGGTGGGCTCCCCGCGTGTGCCCTCCCAGCCCCACTCACCGGGTAGAAGAGCGCCCGGCTCCGCTGCCTTCGGCCCCGGCCCCGGCTGGGCTCGGCGGCAGCGGCGGCGCSGCAACAGCTCCGCCCTGCCCGCTGCACGCCGGGGGTTGTAGTCCGGCCCCGGAGCCCGGGGAACATCCCCCTTCCGATAGTACTTCCCAGCGGCTGAGCCCGCGGGGACTCGCGGCAAGGAGAGGGCGAGAGAGGGGGCTGTGCTCCAGGGTGCTTTTATTGTACAGAGAACGAGAAGGAGAACGGTCCCACGTGGGTTAAGGCGGCAGCTCCAAAGCCACGCAGAACCGCGGACCACAGCACAGGAACCCRCATGGGGCAGCACCTACGGCGTGTGCGGCACGGAAAGCGGTTTATTGCACAAAGGACAGMAAGCAGCGGCTGTGGGCATCGCGCCAGTAAACAAGCGGCGTGAGAGCGGAAACTGTCAGGGAGCGGCGGGAGGATCCAGCCTTGCAGCAAGTGTGGCAACAACGTGCACTACACCGGGACAGCTGCGCTAGACCAGACCTGTCCCAGCTCCAAGGGGCACACGGCTGCTCTGGGCAGCAATRGGAAATGAGGACTGCCCTGCTAAATATTTTGGTACAGCTGCTGAGGGGAAAGGTGCCAGCGGMTGGAAAAAGCCCACAGACTCAGGTAATGTCTCCAGGGCCACCTTGGGAGGCTTCACTCCATCGTACACCAGTGGCCGAGGATGGCCCCCATGTCCCAAAGCAGACAGCTTTTGTCTTCTCCCCAGCAATACCTATGTTCAACTTTTTAGGCTTCAATTTCAGCTCTGTGATACCAACTCCCACCTGGAACCTCAGTTCACACACCCCTGTGCACCTGGGGCACACTGGTGGGAACTGCCTCTCTCTCTACAAGGCGTTTCACGGTCATATAAAATCCCCTGTGCTGGCATGTCCCTAAGAGGGAATGTTTAGTGCATGGAAGGGACAGGATCCAGTTGTACAATGACAGGATGAAGTCCCCAGCTCAACATAGCCATGCACCAGTTTATTCGGATTAAAAATCAAGAGTCCAGTAAGTTRCAGGGCCTCAGGGACACTTGGTTTACAAGGACAGAATGTTTTTTGAGTCATCAGCTCTCAGATTTCTCTSAAGATCTCTGTTTTCTGGTGTCACTAAAAATGTGGTTGAAAAGAGCAGATGAGAGGGATGCCTCACACCCCCATGTGAGTGGGGAATACTACAGGGGCAGCCTCTGGGCTTACAGCTTTGGGACACACACAAAGACTGCAGGGAGGGCCGCTGGAAGTATGGGGCTGGGTTTAGGACAGGAATGGGGTGAGGCAGAGACCACCAGAGAGCAGTTTTCAGAGGAAATTCTTATTGGGGGAGAGGGGGAATGAGAAATTGTTTCACCTCTGGGTACGGAAGTGAAGCCAGGAGAACCAGACAGGTTTAAACGGGGTCACTGGTCTGCCCCACGCACYGATGCCACTGTGAATTACATCTGAAAGGAAAGTCCCAGATGGARAGAGTGAAGCCAACGATGGAGCAGAGTTTGGTAGTGAGAAGTCCTCAGAGCTGGTTGTCAGAGGACAGCTTTGGTGCTGCCCAGCCTCAGGCTGGGATGATGGAGGATGGAGCCTGCTGGCAGCAGGGACTGGCTGAGGAGGTCAGAGGAGCGCACCGGAGCAGTCCTCACACTCAGCCCACCCAGCTCTCTGCCTGCTGCTGTTTGGGCCAGCAGCCAACAGCCTCACAAAGCCTTCTCATGGAGAAATGCGTGTGGAGAAGCCTTTGGTGCCTACACTGGTAGGACGGCATTGCTAAGCATTTGCTTCCTCCAGCATAGGTAGATGCTGGGGCTGATGGACAAAGGATGGACAGCAGGGAAGAACAGCTGTGACGAGCAGGAGCCAGCAATKATGACCCTGCTCCACAACACAGGGCGGATTTGACTAGGCTTCTACAACAACTCATCTACAAGATACATTCAGCAGCGGCTTCAAGTGCTGTGGTTGGAAGTATTCTGCTTGTTTCTTTTCCCTCCTCATCTTCGACTGGTGGGGAAGGAAAAGCCACCAGCTCCAGGGCACACCTTTGTCTTTACTTTGTGACTTGATGGATGGCATGAGCCAGGTAGCCTACATTGCCTGACGTAACTCCCGCCACAGAGATGCGTCCATCCTTTGTCATGTAGACGGAGAACTCCTTGATCAGCCGCTCCACCTGGGGTGAAAGAGCAAAGTTCAAACTGCAAGCCAACCTCTGCTCTGTCAACAAAGTGCAAATTTACCCAGCTTGCTAAAACTCAAAGCAAACTGGGTRCCAGCAGACAGGGCACCCTGTTATCTGCAGAGCCAGCTGTGCACCGAGCAAGGATGCAACATTGCAGACACTCAGCTGGAAGAGTCACATCCCTTGAGCTGACCTTTAAGGTTGCCTCAGAGCAGCACCCAGCTTGCTCTGATAGATGTGATGGCTACGTTTACTTTCAACCTCCCCCAATCTCAGCAGGGAACAGAACAAGACTGGGGTCCCCATGATGTGCCAGTGCTTGGAGGATGTTCCTCCYGAGGAAGAACTTACAAGGGCTCATTTTGGCTTCTGCTGTCAAAAACTTACTGACAAGGACCGCAAAATGACACTTKGAGACCACGGGAATTGCATTTACCTGCTCGGGCTTCAGCCCTGTGAAGCAGAACATGCCGATCTGGTCAGTGATGTGCTGCCAGTTGTGGGAGGATCCTTCTTTCTTGAGGTTGGACACCAGCTGAGTCCGCATGCTGATGATCCGGTCAGCCATGCCCTTCACCTCTGTGAGCCTAAGGAGCCAACCCAGGAACYGCTCAGAGCAGGGCTGGAACACACCAACGCTGCTCTTCCCACCCCAGCTACTGGGAATAGACCTCTCCACCTGGAGGGGCCCCATAGGGACATGCAGATGCACAAAGATCAGGAAGCATGAAGATGTAGCTCCAGCTGGGAGAACTGCTTCTTTCTCCTGATACCTGAAGGCAACTGCCTTTTATTTATTCCATTGCTTGTTGGACACTACTACCAAAGTATAGACATCTCTGTGTCTGAAAGTCAGATCAGTTGGATGCTCCATGGCAGCACTACTCAAACCCAAATAAAATAAGGGTGCAGGGGTAGCAGTGGTAGACAGGTCCTGCTCCAAAGCAGCACAGCCAGGAAATATCTCTGCTAGGCCCTGGATCAGACACAAGTGTCAAGCTGCCAAAAGAACACAACCCCCAGCGAGGCCACAGCACACTGCCAGCCTTTGTTCTGCCAGGCCAGCTGCTGGGAGTGACCCAGCACCGGGGGGCTGGGAAAACAGCACAGGCTCACGCCAGGAAGCAGGCTTAGAGCAYGAGAGTTACATTCCTGGGTCTTATTCCCAGGGGGCTCATGGTTTCACTTCCCCCACATGAGACACACTACATGGCTACAACACTTCAGATTTTCATGCTTCTTGGATAGGCAGCTCCTGCAGCCTGCAATCCTACAGGAGCTTTATCTCCTCCTTTACAGTGTTTTCTGCCTTGGTAACACAAGGAAAACCTATTTGTGTAAATTGCTATCAGCTGATGCCAGGACTTTAGCAGGGATTTCTCCAGAGTAAACATGGTTCTGACTGTTCCTGAAGCTAAGTGCTGCCTGTGGCAGCAGCACGCAGGAAACACAGCACAGGGCTATACAAAGAGACCTTACTGTCACGAGCATTACAGATTTCTTCTCACCATTCCTTTCGTAGTTCAGGGGTGTTCAGGATCATAGAGGCAATGCGGGCTCCGTTCACGGGTGGGTTGGAATACATGGGGCGGATGAGGATCTTCAGCTGTGATTCAACCCTCTTGGCCTCATCTGCATCACTGCAGATCACTGTGAAGGCACCCGCACGCTCTCCTGAAAGAGAGCCACGGAATGTCCAGAGTTGGAGGAATCATTGAGTCCAGTTTTTGGCCATGCATAGAACAACCCCAAGAATCCCACAATGCATCTGACAGCATTGTCCAAACACTCCCTAAGCTCCGTCAGGCTTAGTGCTATGGCCACTTCCTTGGGGAGCCTGTTACAGTGCGCCCTCTGGGTTAAGAACCTTTTCCTAATATTCAGCCTAAATCCTCCCTGACACAGTTCTGTGGCATTCCCTTGGGTCCTGTCACYGGTCACAGAGAGCAGATGCTGCCCCTTAGGAAGAAGCTGAATGCCTACAATGAGCTCTGCCCTCAGTCTTCTCCAGGCTGAGCAGCCAGTCCCTCAGATGCTCCTTGTATAGCTTCTCCTTTAGACCATTCRCCATTCTTGTAGCCTCCTTTGGACACTCTTTAAAGTTTTATATCCTCCTTATACTGTGGGACCCAATGCCACACAGCTTCAGTGGATCCCTGTTCAGTAGAAGGGTCTCCACCAGCTCCCAGCAGGTTTCTTTGCTCAGTACTCCAGGATGGRCACAAGCAGCAGGAAGACACCAGCTGCTAAACCCAGGAGATACTGGGGTCCCACCAGTACAAAAATGRATGAAACCATTTCCTTGGCACGCGCCCTACTCACCATACAGCCCCATGTTCTTAGCGAAGGACTGTGACAGGACGATGTTGATGCCCTGATCAATGAAATACCGCACAGCCCAGGCATCCCGGTTGATGTCCCCGCTGGCAAAGCCCTGGTAGGCCATGTCAAAGTACACAAGGAGGTTTCGTTTCTGCCAGCAAAGATGGAAAAGAGTGTCACAGAAGCTGAGTGCCTCCAAGGGGCAGGGCAGCAGGCTGAGAAGAGCCATGCTGACAGCAGCCTGTCCACCTGCAGCCATTCTCCTCCAGAAAGAGAGCCATTCCCCTTCATTTGCTGCAGGGAAAGCAGCCCAAAACCTGCAGCTACCCACCACACATCAAAACAGCAGCTAAGGACCCTCCAGTGCATTTATGGGATATACAAATCTGGCCCAGGAAGCAGAAGTAGATTCAACAGCAATAAAATATTCTACTTCAGCATTTTCTCTATCATCAGTGGGAAAATCACGTGGGAACTCTTTTGTCAGTTGGGCAGATAGCCCAAATGTACTGCCCCTTAGTCAGGGCACCCACCCTTCTGTAGGCCACAAAGGTCACTTCGATATCTACCAATTCACAGAACACTACTAACACCAGGCATTTCCAAGCCAAATTTCACTGGCTACAGGCTTGATGGAACAGCAGAAAGGAGAAGGCAGAACCTGTCCCTGTCTGTTTCCAGCTGAAGCTTGCAAGGAGACACCAGTGCACGAGAGATCTTCCAGCATTTTTAATACACCAGCAYTGGGTGCTCTGCTTCAGCAATCACAGCTCATGCTTTCAACCCTGCTGCTCTCCTTTTAGGTCTCCCTACTCCAGCTTCCTGGGAAGGTGCCAGCAGAAAGTCTGATGGTCAGCTAGAAGTTTTCTGGCTGCATTTGCCTGGCTCCTGTCAGGAACATGACACCCACCCTGGCTTCAGGAAAGGGAATAACCTTTAGCAAAGTGAAGACCAGGTGCCACCCACGAAAGGCCAGAGATGTGGTTTTCCCAGGAATGGCACAGCACCCCTGGAACATTGCTCACCTTCACTGTAGCTGCCAACTCCTTCCATTGCTCCTGCCGGGGATCCACCCCRGTGGGGTTGTGAGCACAAGCATGTAAGAGGATGACGCTCTTCTCTGGAATTTTCTAAGGAAGATATTGCAAAAAAAAATAAATATTAATGATATCTGAGCACTCTCCTCAGCAGATGAGACAGCTTCGATGAGCTCTGCAAGGCTTCTAGCCTTGATTTAATGCCTTCAGGCATCATAGCATGACAGAATATTCCAAGCTGGAATGGACCCATAAGGATTACTGAGTCCAACTCTTGGCCCTGCACATGACAGCCCTGGGAACTGCACTATGTGCCTGCAATGTTCAAACACTATTGGGCCCTGGCAGACTTGGTGCCACGACCACTTCCCTAGAGAGCCTGTTTCAGTGCCCAACCACCCTCTGGGTGAAGAATMTTTTCCTGATATCCAGCCTAAACCTCCCTGACTGCTCTATGCCACTTCATCACTCTTAGGATAAAGTAAGATCACCACCCATTTCCCCACATGACCTCCTTTCTTCYAGGCATGGAAGGCAACTCACAGAAATATCATCCATGGCCCCAGAGAAGTCAAGGCTGCACGTCTTGGGGTCATAGTAGCGATAAGCCTGAAGTTGCATGCCAGCATCACGGAAAATGGGGGTGTGATTGCCCCAGGACGGTTTGGGTAGGTACACATCACGGCTGGCCTTGAAGAACCGTTGCTGTCAACAGAAAAAGAGTGTTCAAACAGGTTGAACACATTCAAGCAGTTAGAAGATTCAGCACTAGTAAAAATATGTTCTTTCCTTCCACTGCTGGCCAGGRACTCACCAAAAAGTTGGCTCCAATTCGCAGAGATCCAGTCCCAGAAATACCCTGCACAGTAACATACTGCAAGGAAAGAAACAAAAATCTGAGTCTGAGCAGCCATGCTGTGATAGAGGGAGAGAACAGTCACTATGTCAGCACTGSCAGCAGCACACCAGAACAGGGACAATGGGCTGGAGGGACTGCAGGGGTCAGCAGCTCCTGCTCCAGGGCAGGGAGTTGGGCCCCCATGGCAAGGTTAAATCCCCTCCTTGGATAGGGCTGTTTGACCCCAGCCTTCAGAGGAAGCAGTTATCCTTGGGCCCAGCCAGCCCACAACTCCAAAGCATCAGTACCCTGCCAGTTCTTCCACATTTGCTGGACACTCACACCCCAATTGTGTGTCAGACAGTGCTGCATGCCCCCCATGTCCCMGCTTCTCCTTACCCGGCCACTCTTGAAAGCCTCACTGTTTTCCCCCAAAGCCAGTTCTGCAGATGCCCGGGTGAAATCTGCTAGTCCCCCAATGGGCAAGTACTCCTTATCCATCTTCTTGGATGCTATCATGGCCTCCGCCTGGAAAGGAAGACACAAGTTCAGCAAGGAAGGCATCACTATGGAGAGGATGATGGACAGCTCAAGGTCCCTTCTCTGCACATTTGCCTGCTCAAAAGGGGCAAAGGTTGGTTTACAGGAGTTTCTCTCCAGAGCTCATTCCAAACAAGGGGCAGYAGTAAACACTTCAGATGAAACCCAGCAGCCACCAGAGTTGTCAGTGGGTGACAGCGTTGGTACAGCAGAGCCAGGAAACTCAGCTCCAGAGGAGAGCACCACTTCAGCCCATTATAARTTACTGCTGCTGCACAAGGATACACACTTCTTTGCCCAAACAGGAATTGTCCTGCAGGACGGCAAGACTTGAGTGTACTGTGAGGCACATAGTATYTCTACCTAGGAGACATCCCCAAACCAGGTATGGTAGCACATTTTCYGAAGGGCCTTGTAAAGATGGGAATGGGACAGACCCTGGCAGCATTCACAAACCACCAGGAAACTGTCCCTGTGACACCATCTAGGCTCCCTGGTTGTGACCCAGCTCCACAGGGAGAGGGAGAGCAAGGGATGGTTTTAAAGCCCACACTGATGGCASATGGACCAGGCACCCTCCCTGCACCCTCCCTGTCGATGTGTGTGCAGCCAATCAATGCTTGTGTCAGCTGCCAGCTATTTAACAGCCTATTTCTACCCGGACAGCCCTGAAAGACCCCATAATCCCCTCAAGGGCAATGTCCACACCCAGCTCTCTGGGCTGGAGTTTTAGACTGGCTTATGGAGAAACTGGTAACATCGGCTCAGCGGAATTTTTAAGACTAATCCATTAAGGGACCAATGCCAGCTTCYTTCCTCCCTTGTGGGGTGCCCTAGGGAACATCAGCCTACTCAAGAAACACCTTTAAGTTCAGAGAACAGGTGCGTTGGAGGGCTCATGGTAGTCAGCAACAAGTTAAGAGTTACCTGAATGGAAACAGGACATGTATTTCCTGTTTTGTCTTGTACTACTTAAGGGCTCTGTCGCGTCTCAAAAGTATTAGTCCTGCTAAGGGAATACTGTCCTGCTCTGTTAGAGACAAAGCTTATTTTAAGGACCAAGAGACAAAACTTGCTTAGTGGCCTTTCCCCTCCCTGACCCCCTCAAGGCACCTGGCACTTGGATCTGGYCCTGCCCAGCAGCCAGCACCCAGCTCACCTTGCGAACACAGTTCAGGACGTATGGCTTCCCATTGTCATCCCGGTATGCCCCCACACCCAGGTTCATCTTCTTGGAGTTGGTGTCACGTTTGTAAGCTTCTGTCACTCCCAGGATGGGGTCAGGGGGACCCATCTCCACATGGGACCACCATGAGCTAAAAGGAAAAACCAGAAGCTAAGGATTAGGCTTGAGAACTGGGCAGAGAAGTGCACCAACATGGCTAGAGAGAAACCCTCAAGGGAAATCTTGTCTTTAAACCACTGAAAAAGTGCAAATAGTGTTAAAAGAATTATCCAAAAACCAAAACAAACCCTTTAAGCTCACATCTTATATTGCAGAACAGGCAAAGAGCCTCAGTTCACTATGGCTGAACATAACTGACTCCCTCTCAGTCATTAGCATGTCGAAATGGTCCTGTTTGCTGTATGTGCTAACACCACAAAGACCCCAGGAAACAGAAGCCTTGAACTCTTACACTCTGGACAAGTGCCCAGAGCCTGCAGGTAGGACTGCACAGGTTATTCCCCTCCAGGGAACCTTGGCCAGACCTGGGCAATTGCACAAAACATGAATATGGAGCCTCTTCCAAATTCCTGGAAGGGCTCTAGTACATGAAAACTAATTTGTTTTTCTCCCAACATTGGCTGGCATAACAAAGATATTTTCACTGCTTGCACTCTGTCTCCCTTGTAGACAAATGCTGTTTTCCTTGAAATCATAGAAGACAATTTTTTCTCCATCTGACAAGTGACAAGCTCTGATGTGAAGACCCTTCCCCTGCTATTGAGCACGAAACCTYCCTGCATGAGGAGCTTTGTGTTCCTCCAGCACAAGGAGCCACCTGCCTCCACCCTGCTGGCAGCACACCCTGAAGATGGAGAGGCTCTCTTAATGTCAAGGGCAGACCAGACCACGCTATAAAAAGAAACCTGTTATTTCCTTTGGCCACAGTCTCTGCCCTGTCCCACGTCCAGGCTTTGCAGACAGTGCAGGAGCAGCAGTGTGGTGGTTTTTAACCTGCTGTGGCTGTCACAGCCCCCTCCTGAAGGCACTGGATACAGCTTTGAGCATCCTGAYTCACCACACAGGCGCCTACCCAGGTCCCCAGCTCGGTGGGGAACAAAGGGTGCAATACAAGGTAGATTGAGTTTATCTCCTGGGGGCCAGAACTCAGGCCTTGACTGCTGAAGGAAAAACACAGAGAGATACATCAGCTTTACTAAGCTTTGTAGCCCAAGAAAGGCCACCTCATCTGATAATAAGATCCTTTCCCAACTTGAGAATGTTATCCTGGGCTGGTCCCTGCCCCAGGCAATGCAGGCAGTGTGGAGCCAGCCCAGGGCCAGCCAGCCCTCCTGCTGAGTGCTTAGTGCAGACACTGCAAAAAGATACAGATCTGTGGGCAGCAGGGTCTGACCAGTTAAGAAGTTCTAACATGACCAGCAGAGGGTCAAGGAAGTTCTAACATGATCAGCAGAACTCACAAAATCATCTTTCCTCTCCACTCTATCCCTGTCCTAAGTCCATTTAGGCCCAGTTCACTCACTACTGTCCCAAATATGTAGACTGCATCTCATGAAGCCCCAAACATAATTTGCCCTCTTCAGACTAACTGCTCTTCCCATYTGTACACTATTTCCAAATTTTAAAAAAAGCCTGTTTTCTCTTTGCTTTGAGGAAGCTGTAGAGCCACCTCAGGTACTTTAAAAATGGAAGATGTGCTCAACATTTTTTAGACCACTAACCAGACTTGATTGCCTTTTAAGTACAGGATCAGCYTGGAAAGGAAGATGAGTCAGTCATGCCAGCAACACACACCCTCCAGAGAGGGACAGGGGCTGCAGCYAGTGTGGAGGGAGTGACCTGGGGAACCAACCTGAGCAGGACACGTCAAGAGGGSAAAATCTTGCTGCAGGTTCAGGCGGTTTTGGACAAACCTCTCCCACTGCCTTCCTGGCAATGGAGAAGCAGGGAAAGAGAGAAACACTGAGCAGAAGTGTGTTCTCTGCAGTTTACCTGGTCARAGATTATTTTGGTATCAAGGGCTGCAGGAGCCTGGCCATTTATTTTAAAGAGCTGCTACTTTGGAGACGGTGACAGCACCTTCTTTCTGCTGGGCCTTTCCCCAAGCTGATTACAGTGTTTGTGGTATTTAGGTCCCGATCCTKCTCAGGCTTAGGCAGGTCACTGAGCTTTAACATACAGCAATTAATGCTGATCCTGCGGGCATTTACCTAAGCTGCAGCACTTCAGAGAGTTAAGTACTTTTGTTCTGAGCTGGTTTTTCTGTCGGCTTAAGGCACCRAAGGGTAGGTTTAGGACTTATTTTCCCGTTCTCAGCATGAAGGTTTCCAGATGAAACAAGACTCCTCTGGTGTTTCCAGGGAGGTGAGCTTGCAGGGAGACAGGAGAAAAGTCTAGGCTGAGCTGTCCAAACACATCAGGGTATCAAAGAGATCAGAGGCAAAGCTTTCCCAAAGGGGTTTGGGAAAAAGAAATCTAACACACTGCTACACCCTGTTACCGTTGTTGTCCCTGCAGTGCCTTGTATTTTATTTTGAGCAATTAAAAGAACATTGGGCTTGAATAAAGGTCAAAGCTATAAACTGCACATCTCTGCTAGGTCAGAGGTATTTCAGTGCGGAAAACTAACCAGAGGTAAACTTCAGCTGGGACTGAACTACTYGAGGGATACTCAATGTAAGCCAAAGGAAGCACATTCTCCAGCTACAGAACTTCAACACAGAAGGCCCAGTCAAAGTTTAGATGCTCATCAGAGCTGGTATCCAAATAGTCTCTATACTTTTCAGGCTGGTCCTCTGAACTGGTTTAATGCACAGCTGCAAGTGCAWTGGGACAGAGAAAGTGGGAAAATGCACCAGGAACTGCATAAATTGGCAACACCTTTCAAAAATGTATGTGGAACTTATGCCTCAAGTGCACAGACCTGAGATGTGCTTAAGAACTTGAGCCAAGCCCGGAGAGCAAGCATTTACAAGCCCAGTGAAGGTTTCCATCATGGAGAGGCCAGCCCAGATTCCCTGAGGTATGGCCACATAAGATACAGATTTCAGAAGCTTTGCCAAAGTCCCCACAGCAGTTCTGCAAGCCAGAGCAGAGCCAAGGGGCCAAAGGCTGTCTGTCAGGCTGTCCAAAGGCTGTCCGGATACCACAGCTAAAGCAAATATTTACATGAGAACAATGCCAACAGGCTGCTGGCTRCTACAGGGCCTTTCAAGCCTACAAATTCCTTACCCCAGTGAGCTGCCGGTAAGCTTCCCACCAAGAAAAGTATTTAAATAGCTCTCTTGTGATACATCAGAGCAGCAGACTGAGTTATCACCCTAATTAGCATTKGTGTGTCAAGGGAGGCGTTTTAACCATTTCCTATCTCTTTATCACTGCTCTGATGTCAGAAAGAGCCTTCTCAGCATAGAGTAATGGTAGCAGCTGGAGCACCAATTCTGTTGCTGAAGATAAGGAAACAGAAACTGCTAATCACTGCTTGGCTTCCCTTGTTGCATAATAAGCCACTATTCCTGAACAGGAAAACGCGGGGCTGTGCATAGACGGCTCCTTACTCAAAAAACTTGGGTGACCTCAATTCAATTTGGTAATTTATAGCTTGCTGTATAACAAGCTTGAGAAAAGCGAAGCTTATGCCAGCAGGCTCCATATCTTCCACAGGCCTGCCACAGTTCACAGGCACAAAACACRAGTTCTATCCCTGCTGAGAAGAGCTAGAAGGCTGCCTTAGAAGCAGCAATGACTGGAAGCATTCTTCTCACAAGGGTTTATCAACATCTAATAGCCTTGTCTATCTGCTGGGAGGGGGATTTAGAAAAAACACTGCTTTACTGCTCTGACATTTGTTGGAACCTGTTTTTAGAGCTTCCCCATCAGTGAGGGTCAGGAGTCAAAGGGCTCTGGAGAGCAGCAAGGCCTTGTTCAGATCCCTCTGCACACTCTGCTTCTTGGCCATCTCGTCTCAGTGGTCACCTGTACTTTGTGGAGCTGTGCTGAGCTCTTCACACAGCTCCAGAAGCACSCTATACCCTTCTAGCCAAGCCTCTGCTGACCAGAGACTGCAGAATCCAGAGCTACCAGTGCAGGACTGGTCCTCACAGAAACACCATCATTCTTATCCTGCTCCTACCAGGGCTGGCACTCTGAGAGCACAACTCTAGCACAGCCAGCACTACTCCTGTCCCATTTCATGGATCATGGGGCACTGCAGACCTGCTGCACCATGCAYGAACCCCAGGCCCACTGCACAGTGCAGAGGTCCCTCTGGTCCCACTACRCACGTCAGCCCCATTTCACAACACAGAGAATCCTGGAATGGTTTGTGTTGGAAAAGACCTGAAAGATTATTTCATCCAAACACCTGACATAGACAGGGACACCTTCCACTAGACCAGGTTTATCCAACACTGGTCCAACCTGGCCTTGAACACTTCCAGGGATGGAACTGGTACAATTTCTCTGGAAAACCTGTGCCAGAGCCTCCCCACCCTCACAGGGAAGAATTTCTTCTGAATATCTAATCCAACCCTGCCCTCTTGTCAATCTAAAGCTATTGCCCCTTGTCCTTGTGCTCCATGGCTTTGTCAAAACTCCCTCTCCAGCTCCCTTGTAGCCCCTTTAGATACTGGAAGGCTACAATTAGCCCCGAAGCCTCCTCTCTTCCAGGTTGAATAACTCCAGCTCTCTCAGCCTTTCCTCACAGAAATGACGCTCCATCCCTCTAATCATCTTTGTGGCCTCCTYTGGACTTGCTCTAACAGGTCGATCGATATTTTTCCTGTGCTGGAGCTCCAGAGGTAGATGCAGTGGTGCAGCTGGGGTCTCCACAGAGCGGACTAGAGAGGCAGAATCCCCTCCCTTTACCTGCTGCCGGTGATGCAGCCCAGGACACGGTAATTTCTGGGCTGCAAGCGCACATGGCCGGAGCACGTCCAGCCTCTCATCAACCACATCACTCGTGCCCTGCAGGACAGTGCACACCACCAGCAGCACCCTGGCCCCGTTAATCACGGCACAGAGTGTCCCAAGCCCCATCGCTCAAGGSGCAGGCTGTCCCCAGCCCCGGGATGTCCCCGGTCCCATTCCCGGGGCTCCCGCTGCCTCCGCGCCCTCCACGGCGGCGCCTCAAGGGCAGGCGGTGGGCGCCGGGCTGGGCCGCAGCCAATCAGCGCGCGAGGACCCCCCTCCCCAGCCAATCGGCGCGCGGTCCGTCCCCCCGGCAACCCCCTTCCCCAACGCGGCGTCACCCGCGGGCCGCACGGGGGACCCGCTCCTCGCAGCCACCCCCCAACACCACCTCAGAGCGGAGCTCAGCCCCGGAAAAACCCCTTCCCGACACCGGCGGGCGGCCCCAGGGGCTCAGCCGCCTCTCAGCCCTCACCTGGCGCGGGAGGCGGCGGCGGCGAGGCGCGGGGCGGCGAGGAGCCGGCGGCTGTGCAGGAGCGCCATGGCGGCAGCGGCGGCGG